CCCCCCCCCCCCCCCCCCCCCCTCCGTCCCCACAATCACCACCGCCCTGCCCTGCCTCTTATCGTCGCTCAACGAAGTTTGCTTCGAGAATGCCGCGTACTCCTCGCACTCGTGCCTCTTCCGCCACTGCCGCCGCCACTCCCGCCGAGCGTTGGCGCGGCAGCTGTCAGAGCTGTGGAGCGAGCGAGTACGTACGTGTGGGCGGGGCACGAAGGAGGAAAAATAGCGTACAGCAGCAGCGTTCCCAGCGTATAAAAACACAGGCGGTACAAACCGAAGCAATTTCAAGCCGTTTTTTTTTTTTTTTTGCTTGTTCAGGGACGTTGTGGACTGCTGTCTGTCTCATCTCGCCTCATCCCCACCCACTGGAGTTTTGAGACGTCATGATGCCACGGTCACTACCTGATGCTGCTACAGTTCGCACGCTGGAAACACACATATATGTGCATACAAGTGTGGGTGTGTGCGTGGAGAAAAACACCGAGGTCATATCTCGAACGGGTAGTGTTTCTGTGGGGTCATGTTTACTGCTATTAAAAACACCGCTTGATGACGTCGCTCAATCAACTTGTCGTTCTGCTGGCAATGAACCACACACGAAGTTTTCAGCAGTGGAGCAATGTATGTATATGTTGTGGCGGTGTCAGCAGAGATGCAGAGCAGTGCACACATCTCCGTGCAGACCGCCGAGCCCGAGGTAGGGAGGTCGGCATGCACATATATTCGTATCCGCGCGGCTGCGGGCTTTCAACCCCAAAAATGCAGAAAATATTATTTTTGCATCCAAGATCTTGCAGAGGGATTTCTCTACAGGAGTACATGAAGATGATGAAAAGCTCGCGCCGACGACCTCCCAGAAATGGCCCGCCCCGCACCTGTTTATTCTTGGTGCACAGCAGCAGTGGCAGGCAGCAGTAAAAAAAATAAGAATGTACATGTATCTGTTTTCCTCTGTTTGCTTTTTGCATGTTCTTACGTCACCCCTTGCCGCGGTGCTCTCTTGTTTACCCCACTCCGGAGGGATGCCTTGTACTTAATAGATTTTCATTGTTCAATAGAAGTGTATATTTCTATTCCACACGTCTTTCCTTTGCTTTCGGCGCGCGTGCGTGCGTGCGTGCGTCCTTTTTGCTCCTGCTTCTTCTCTTCTGCCTTAGGTTCTTTGCATTGACCAAGCGGTGTCGATATCCCACGCAAGCCGCAGGAAGGGTAGAAAGGGAGGCCATAGCCTGGTGCCCACGGTGAGGAGACAAATTGTCTTGTCGAGGAGCACGCTCGCTACGTGACATCGCGCCCTCAGGGTCGTTCCGCATGTTGTTCGCTCGCGGTTCATGCCGTATTTTTCCCAATTCCGTTCGATCGAAGGAGAGCAAGCACGACAGGAGGGGTGGGTAGGGGGAGGAGGAACCCTTCTTGCTGTGTGATCATGATGACGGAGAATAGCTGCTATACCCGACTAAAATTCTGTGTGTGAGCGCTGGTTGATAGTGAGAAAGAAAAAAAAACACGGCACATGTCCATTTTGCAGTTAGTAGGATGTGCTAGTGTACCTCTAAGGACGTTGCCCAAGATCAATCGGCGGTTCAAGCGACGACACCCATGTTGCTGCAGGCAAAGAATGCAATGCCGAGGCAATCCTCACGTTCACCAACGTACTAGCATGCGACATTTGCACTCCGTTTTGTGAAGCGTTGGTGTGGGACGAGCTCGATCACAAAAGACAACAACGAGAACAGCAACAACAAAACACGCTCATGTCGGCGTCGTCGAGCTGTTGCCGCCCTTGAGTTGCTAGAGGATCAAGTGGTCTTCACCCCCTTTGACCTCTTGAGGAAGTAGGAGCTTCAAGGACGGAGCTGGCTGTGATGTTCTGTCTCGGGGGATTTTTGTATTTGTTTTGCTCCACACCGTGCCTGCGAACTCCCTAGTCTTGCATGTTGCCTTCGCTCTCGCTCTGACTTGCTGGCCCGATGCTGCATTTTATCTCCGTCCGTTTTTTTCGTTTTGTTCTGCAGGAGCCACCAAGCGTGGATGATGTAAACAGGTTCGCCCAAAGACGGGGAATGAACGGCGCGAGCCATCGGAACACCGACTCAGAAGACCTAGCTGAGCTCGTGAGTTGAAGGATCTCGCGGAGGGCATCATAATCAGTGTTGTTCGTGCAAGTCGGTAAACTTGAAATCTGTCGCTCGTTGTCTTTAGGGGGGGGGCGATGCGTTGGCATCTTGTGTCGCCATTTTTCGCCTGATCGTCGCTGTAATTTTCTGTTTTAGGGCTCGTCTTGATCCGTAAAAAAAGAAACATCACCAGTTTTCTCGGAAGGAGGGAGCAGTATCATGCCCGAGTTGTCATCCACCATGCGAGAGACGCGAGCACTGTTCTCAAGAACCATTCAGCCCTTGTAAGCGAGAGCCCGGCCGTCCTGAGCTCCCCCGTGGCCACTCCATCCCACTCGTGCTTCCGGCTAATCCGTCTTGAGCTCCTATCCCACTCGCGCTTCATTCCTCCGTGTCCGCTGTCCCCTACTCCGCCCCGCTGTTTGCGTAAGGAGATGGCCGCTATTTCACCGAAGGCTCTTCTAGGTTCCTCCGCCATAGGTGATTCGGAAGAGGCGGTGGTTCGAGGGGGGGGCACCAACGGAGGCCGAAACGGTGATGGCGGCGGGGCAGGGGGAGCCAGCGGTAGTAACGGGGGTCGGGGAGCAGGAAGCAACGGAGGCGAGGCGTGCCCACAGCAGGGGTTGATTTCGTCGTCATCGACTGACTCACACGAAGACCAAGACTGCGGGGATCATCATCACCATGGGGGGCACGCGCATGCGCACGGGCTGGGGGGGGAGGGAGACGGCGTGTTGGTGCGCCTGGCTCTCCTGTTGGCGCTGTCGGTGCACTCGGTGATGGAAGGGCTGGGAGTCGGCGCCAAGACCACGAAGGCTTACAACTTGCTCTTCGCGATCGGAGTTCACAAGGTACGCTGGGAGCGACAAAGGGGGCCAAGAAAACAACCCCAGTATTTGTGACAGCTGAATTCGTTCTCACTCACGACGTAGCTGCCTTCAACGCATCCCTTCGGATGGTGTATTTCCTCCAACGGGTGATCTGTCGTTGATGGTATGTTGTACTGTACTTGGTACTTGGTACGTATATTGTCGAAGATGTTTGTTGGCAGGAATCGAACAAGCCTTGGTTGGGTTCTTAAGACCACATCATAGTGTTTTTCGCGTCCACGTGAATTGTTTGCGTCTGCGTTACGTGAAGGTACCAACCAATCTTGCTTGTCGATGTAAGCTCGCTGTGTTCGTTTGTAGTTTTTGTCTGGTCGGCTATTAGTTCTTGGCAAGGCATGCCATTACGAGTTATAGTTGGAAGGAAGGAAGGAACCGCATGGTGAGAACAAAGAGAGCGATACGAAAAGCGAGATATCAACCTACTGTGCGCGATTACGAACGAGGATTCGTAGCTTTGAGGTTCCCACAACGTACATTAGCACGCGTGAGTGACGAATAAGAGGTTGCTCACAAATCGCGGGCTACAAAGGTTGATTATCGCGGAGGGGGATAGGGTAAGCGTTTCTGTGAGTAGGATACGGTGAAGGAAGTTCACAACTATAAGAGGACCAATCGAGGCGATGCGCACCAAGGCCACCTTGATTGTTTTTTTTTTTCGATTTTGACCGGTACAAGTGTAGTACTTGTTCCAACCCGTCGGACGGCACGGATAAGGAGGGATGCCCTTGCCATGAGGATGGTGCCCTTGTCATGTGTAGGCATGATGTCCGCGTCATAAGCATGATCCATTTGTCGTAGGCATGGTCCGTTTGTCATAAGCATGATGCCCGCGTCATGTAGGCATGATGTCCGCCCTGTAGGCATGATGCCCTCGTCATGCTGTAGGGATGACGTATTCGCGTGGAAGGCGGGTCAACCGCCTCGAACGTGACCGTTTTTTAGAGAGAGGAACAGCAGCAAAACGTCGATGCGGCCGATGCCGAGCAGAGGCAACCATCCACTTCCCCCTTCTCCATCCCGGCATTGTAGGGATGCGAGGTGTATGGTGTAACGACTACGGCATGCGTTTACATTAGTACACCCTCCTTCCGCGGTCAACTGTCTAACCGCCACGGCATGCAAAGCAACAGTGCGCCCCCCACACGCCCATGGTCCATGGTCTAACCGCGAAGGCGTGCGTGTTCAGGAGCACGCCCCAAACGTAAGCAGGGTCAGCACGATCTGGTCCACAGACTGTACCCCCCCCCCCCCCCCCCCCCCCCCCCCCCCCCCCCCCCCCCCCC